CTTTTTTTTTTTTTTTATTTATTTTTATTTAGACTTGAAACAATAAAACAAAGTCGACAGAGAAATTCTAATATATTAGATGAATCAATAGGTGAAATTAAACAACGTTATTATTATACAAGAGAAGCATTGTAAATAGAATATTCTAATAGATAATAAAAGAAAAAGATATTCATCAATGAATATTTATTTTAGAGCAGATTTACATGATGTTACAATTATATCTGAAGATGGAAAAAAAATTTCATGTCATAAATGTATTTTAACAAGTCGACTTGATTATTTTCGTAGTATGTTTTTAGCTGATTGGATGGAAGTATGTTAAACAAAATATATGTATATATATATAATGTATTCATTGAATATATTTCATTTGTATATTTAGAGTCAAAGTAATTCAGAATTAAAAATGACAATACCATCAGATTTACTTGAAATTATTATTGATTATTTATATACAGATAATATTTCTAATAAATGTAGGTTAATATTATCAAATATTTAAATAGGCTATAAACAATCTAACATATACATATATAGAAGTTTTTGTATACCAACAAAATTTGTACATAGAGTATTGATAGCATATCATAAATTTGAACTGTAGCAAGATAACGACATTATTTTGAAGTGTCAGTCCTCACCTGGTCTCACTTTCATCCTAGTTCGCATCGTTTAATGATAAGCTGTATAAAAAGATCTATAGAAGAATACCCAAAAAATTAATCTTGGAAGTCGTTGGAAAATATTAAAGAGATCTAGTCAAGATTATAGATGTACAAGACCGACTTTAGTCCCGGGATCGGAATCACAAGAAGGTAAAGTCGTCGAGATAGTGCTAATTGTTAAATAAATAAATGAGAAAAGAAAGAAGTATTGAAGAACTCTTTTTTAGATTGTGATATAAATAACCTCTATAATAGTTTCCTCTAGACTGAAATAGAAACCAGCAATAAATTTGCCAAGGTCATAATGAAGCCGAGACCAAAAAAAAAAACTTGATATCGCATATCTCTATTCAAGATTTAAAAATAGAATGATCACTGTGACAAGAAAAATCAAGAACTAATAATATTGTAAGAATTTCTTTAAAAATATCATCGATTCGCATTGATCAATTCCGTTTGAAATGAAACGAATTTGAAAGAATATTATACATGATTGTCATTTTGTTTTTGCTACTCTTCAATTATTTCTTTGTAGTAAAAAAGAAAGTTTCTTAACAACTTTCAAAAATTATCATTAGTTTTTTTTTTTCGATTTAAAGAAATTTCAATTGTGAATTTCTGCTAGATATTTTTTTCTAACAACCAAATTCTTATATTTCCTTGAATACAAAGTTTTAAAAATTATCCATATTTTCTTACATATCAATTAGTTGAATTTACTTAAAAGCATTCAATCATACTATATCAGTTAATTGGAAAGATAATCTAGTTTAGAAGTGAATTGTTTTTTTTAGATGAATCTTATTTAATTAGATAGATCCTATTGAAACTAGACAAAGCTTAAGACGATTCATGTCTCTGAACCTTCTTTAGCTATGATTATTTTAATGAATCTTTTGAAGAGGATGTCATGTTTCCTTGAGATCATCTTCGAAATCAATTTCTGAAAATAAATTTGGCAAATATAACATGTTCATTGTGAAAGTATTAGATTCTCTAGTATTTCCTCTCTAAAGGCATTAATATAAAAACAAAGTTTTTTTTTTTCATATTACTATCTAAAAATAAAGATCATAAAAAATCTGATACTTTCATAATGAGCAAGTTTTATTGAGTACTTTATTCGTATGAATTTTCTTCTCAAAATTTACAATTTGAAATATGATCTGAAGCAAACATAACATTTTCTTGAAAGACTCACTAAAAATAATACTAATTCAAGAAGATCTACTATCACGATTCTTTTTAAGACTTTCTCTAGTTTTACAACGATCTACTTCATTAATTAAGACCTATGTCAATAATAATATATCACTTGACAAAGTTCTCTCTTAAAGTGGCACTATCTATTCGGTCTATTGAAATTCCATCGCATAATTATTAACTAATGTTAATTATAAACAATGATTTTATATAGAGAAAAAAAAAAAAGTTTTATGTTTAGTCAATGTTGAACAACTCTGTCAAATTCTGGTTCTATCCGATCAATTGTTAATCGAACGACTTAAACAAATATGTGAATTTCATATAGCAAATTTAGGTAAGATTTTAATTAAACAACAAATAAAAAAACATTGTTTCAATATCAATGAAATATTTTTATTTATTCTCATATATAGTAACATTTCGTGATGCTGTTGAACTTCTTCAATTTTCTGCTACATATAATGCTGAACAATTGAAAGCATTTGTACAACAATTTATTGGTCGAAATATGGCTACATTTCTTGAAGCACGTTTACTCGATAATCTTGATAATGAATTATTAAATGATTTAACAAAATCCTATAGAAATTTAGTAAGAATAAAATTTCTTATTTTTCTTTGTCTAAAAAAAAAAGAAATTTTTTTTGTTTTAGCTTGATTGTATGAATTATCGAATGATAACACCATATAATGATTGTCCATCATTAGATGATCTTTTAATTGATCTTGATTTATTAGAAAATTTACCAATTGATGTTGATGAAACAACAACATTTGGATTAAAAAAACAACAATCACAACAAAAACGAAAACAACAAAATAAGTAAATTTAAATAAACAAAAGAAAAAAGAATTAATCAAAATTAAGATAATTCTTTTCTTTAGATTACGTACATCAGAATCAGATAATATTAATAAATCCTCGCCACCAGTATCTATTCAAACTGCTTCAATTATAACAACACCAACTCGTTCAAAAATATCAGAAGAAGAAAAATGGACTTCAGTATCATCGAAAAAAACATCGAAAAATAGTAAAGTAAGTTAATATTCAACGTTTTCGTTCTTATTTTTAAAAATATTTAACTTATCTAATAGAATGTACCAACACCAAATGTATCAAACAATCCTCAAGTAGTAAGTCCAATTCGACCAATAATTCCAGGTGCTGTTTATACTCAAAAAGAAGGTAAATTGAATAAGTAAAACTTTAAGAAAAAGAAAGATTAATTTTTTTTTTGATAGCGGATAAATTAGCTGCAGCAAAAAAAGCAACAAAACAAGAAATAAATATTAATAAACTAGTAATAAAGCCTCCATCACCACAACAAATGTAAGTAAACAATATAGACTCTTATGTAATTCTAAATAAATGTTTTGTTTTCTTTCTTAAAGTACAACAGCATCAGTAATTACAAAGGATGAATTATCACCTAAAAATCCTTGGAAAACAACAAATATTTCTTCATCAATACCATTAAAAACAATGATTTCAATAGAAAAAGAAATGAATGCATCGAAACCAGTAACAACACCACGACCCACGTATGTTTCAAAAGTCATTATGAAAGGAAAAAGAATTTTTTAATTTCAAATGCACTATGATTGAAAAATTCGAACTTCATTCCATTTTGATATTGAATAAGAAAAATCTATTTTCCCCGTATTATTAGATTTTCTATTAGAATATCATTGATTTTAATATTCCATATGATCAAAATCGTGATTTGCCATACGATATTTATGATGATCGAACTTAGAACGATGATTGTATCTCGACGAGTATAAGATAATCTTTTATCATCGTGTCCATAAAAGTTTTTTTCATAAATGAAAGGGAGATCATTTTGTTTTTCCCATGTACCGCAAATAATAAAAAACAATAAACTTTTCTTTTATACAATAATACTTACTGTAGAACTTTGTTGCAATATGATCGATTAACCGTCAAAATTGATTCGATATTGAAAAAAAACATCATCTATATCAATTAAATTTTCTATTTTAATTATATTTAGACCAACCACACAGTCAACTCGTTCAATACCTATTACCCAACTATCACCACCTCCACATGACACTGTTAATCCATGGTCAATATTAGCAACATCACCAACATCATTAGCTTATTCAAATATGTCTATTGCTTCATCACCACCAATGTCATTTAAACACATTCAAGATCAAGAAGCACGAGCACATGAAGCTCTTCGACAAATAACCAATAAATCACTTGAAAAAATTCAGGTTTTATATTGATTTATTCTTTTCTTTGTAAATAAAATTTTTTTTTTTTATTTCATTTTATATTTGTATAGACAGAAGAATTGGCTATACAAGCATTACATCGTTTGTACAATTCAGATCAAGAATTCGATATGGTAATTACTATCGAACGTGTTCTACCGGAAATAGCAAATCCAATATGGCCTCGTACATCCACAACAACAGCATCATCATTATCGTCACCGAATCTTATTTTAATTACACAAAAAAAAGGACAAAAATGATAAGGATAGAAAATTCTCTATGTTATTTCTTAATCTAAGAGTTTTGCATGATAGAAAAACAAAATATTCTATTTGTTTGTTATTGGTTGCTTGTTGATTTCATATTAAAAATAAATCTTATATAGATTTACTTTTTTCTTATAGATTAAATAAAAGAGTATTTATTCATGAATAAAACCATTTAAATCATCAAACAGTTGAAAACAACAGACTAATTTATGTAAGAAGACAAACAGAACACGCTTTCTTTCTGCATATTTAATGAGTTCTAAAGGAGAATATTTTAAAAATATTTGATATTATAATAAACCATCTTCATAGTATTTATTTGATAAGATATATTCATATCGAAAGATTTTTTTATTAATAAGTATATTATATTAGACGGGATTGCATGATAAAATCTCCTATTAAAATTCATTAAGAAAAGAATTAGTAAAGGTTTCCTATAAGACTTTCATTAGAAAGTATTAAATAATGTCTCATTTATGTGTTAATACAACCAGACAAATCATTCTAAATGAATAAATGATAGAGTTCAACTCTAAACAACAAGAAGCTGAACAATTTAAAAATAAATGTGTTGAAGTTTTTTGTAAGAGAAGAAAACTAAATCTATGCTAATTATTCGTGAAATATGACCAGGGATCATCTTCAATTTTGAAAAGCTTTCATTTTTCTTCAGTGAAATTCCAGCATTTTGTTATGTATTCTTTTGTTCAATGATTCCCAGAAAAAGTCGTTGACTTCCGTTGTCAAAGTCCAGTCTCCTGAGCCACTGATTCCTTATTTCTTGGTAACCTCCGGGCATGACTTAAAATTTGACATGCATGTAAAAACATCAACTCACTAAACGAAATCACTTTTTTAATACTCACATTATATATTCTAGATGTTAAAAATCAATTCTTTTCCACTTTTATTTCTAAAACGCACAGTATATCATGCCATAAAATCAATTAATGAGTCACCTACTTTATATTCAATACCATCAGCTAGAATATCAGCCGGTCGAATGCAAGCTTGGATTATTTATTATTATGGTGATAATCAACAATTTACTCTCTCCGATAGCATACAAATACCAATAATACTTTCACCAAAAGATGTTCTTATTAAAGTTTTATCAAGTAGTATTAATCCAATAGATATTCGACGACGAGGTAAAATAATAAAAACAAAACAAAATTTTTTGTTTATTTATTTGTTTATATAATAGAGGGTTATGGCGGTAAATTAATTGATACATATCAGTCAATGAAAAATATTTTACAATTAGGAGGCAATCAAGTAAATAAATTACATTTTCCTCTAATATTGGGCCGTGATTTTTGTGGAGAAATCGTACGAAAAGGACCCAAAGTAACAAAATTCAATATTGGAGATAAAGTAGGAGTATTAAACAAGTAAAAACAAAACGAGAATTCTATTTAATTATTTCATATTTATTGATTTTAAAGGTGTACGGAGCATTAAATGTTACACGACAGGGTAGTTTTGCGCAATATTGTGCTGCTGGAGAAGATGAAGTAAGCATTAAAATTAAGTCAAGCAAGTGAAAATCAAATTAATATATTTTAGATTTGTTTAAAACCAAATAATATATCAGATGAAGAAGCATCTGCGTTACCACTTGTTTCATTAACAAGTTGGTATGCTATTAGAAAATTTAGTGGTTTTACTGAAGAAAATGCTTTAAGAAAACGGTAAATAACAATGATTCTTTTGTTAATTTTTGGAACTGACATTATGTTTTACGAAGAAGAATATAGTGAGTGTAAGTTTTAAGTCAAGCTTTAGCGGTTGACTCTCTCATATCAACGAAGGAAAAGCTAACGGTGATCGAGTATGTGTCTATAGCGATCGAGGACAACAGATTTCTTAGCAACGGCAAAAGACACTGAATGGCATCAACAACAAGATTTAAATTGTTCTAAGACATTACAAAGTTTTTCCTCGAGATTTTATTCAAATTGTCAAGGATGATGAAAATCGATTTGACATGGGCAAGATAATTTTGAGACTAGGACAAAACAGCTTTTCACTGGAAGCAATATCTTATATGGTCATATTAAACTTACATCAAATATCATATTCTCACGATTCATACGTTCTAAAAGTTGATGCGACAATTATTAAGTTACGATCACTTCAAAAATTTGCTATTACAATTTCGATAGTAAAATTATTCTTTTTTTTTTCGCAAACAACAGAGCTATCGAAAACATAAACATTCAGGATGAAGTATTAGTGAATTTAGAAAAGTAGGGAATCTCCAGAATGTTGAACATTAGAGATCATGCGGATTGTGCAAGATGTTTCAAGCAGATTGACACTACTAGAAAATGATATCACATTTTTTCGCTAGTTCATGTATTATTGAGCGCAAAACCCGAACCAGAACCAAAAACTATTTGTTCAGTTCATCACTAATAGTGATGTGTTGATTTGCTACAATCATCATATAATCAACATTGAAAGCATGAACTGATCAAGTTATAACTTTAAGAAATAAACAATATCAGTGTGTTTCTGAGCTTGTCCAAATATATAACAATGCGTTGAAATCTCCTGTAGATATTATGGATATGTACAATAGACTTATTTGGCAGTTAAATCAATTGTTAGAATAATAATTATGTTAAATTAAGAAAAAAGGAATATGAGATCAACAAAAAAATAGAATATTTCTCTTTGAAAAACAGAAATAAATAAGACAGATCGTTTTCCTGGCGATTGATTATCTTTGAAAAATAACTATAGTCTACTAGAGAGTTTTCATTCGATGTATTTCGTATTCATATAATGAGACTAAAGAACATATGTGAGTTCCATATTTTAGTCTCAAATGGTCTTCATTGGCAAGCTTATTTTTGTTTTAATAATTTAATTTATATTTTAGTGCATTACTCATTGGTGCTAGTGGTGGTGTTGGTCATGTAGCAACTCAAGTAAATAAAATATTGAATAAATTCAATTAAATATATGAAATTTTTGTTTCTCTTTTTATTGTGTTAAAATAGTTGTTGAAAAATCTTGGAATGGAAATAACTGCTTTGTGTAGTCCAGATTCATTTGATTATATTCGACAATTAGGTGCTGAAGATGCAGTTAACTATCGTGAAAAAGATTGGTTAGTTGAACTAAGTCGAAAACCGAAGTAATTTGTTTTTCGTTATTTTTAATAGAAAAATAATTTTATATTTTTTCTTTCTAGATATGATATCATTTTTGATACAGTCGGTCCACGTTATTATAGTTTTGAATTGATGAGTTCGTTATTAAATCGAGGTGGTACATTTGTTACAATAGTGACACCAATTTTTCGTAATGTCGATAAATATGGTCTTATTTCTGGTTTTTCACGTACAGTATATCAAGCTACTAAACAAAGTTTATTTGTAAGAAAATGTTTATTAAATAAAAACTTCATCAATAATTTAATTATAATAAATAGGGATTATCAAATAATGTTAATTATCGATGGGCAGTTTATACAGCTGATGGAAAAGTTCTTAATGAGATAAAAAAACTTGTCGAACAAAATAAAGTAAATATTAATATATAAAAAAAGATTACAAATTTTTTTCTTTTTTGCTAAACTATTTTCTTTTAGTTAAAAATTAAATTGGATTCAAAAAAATTTTCATTTGAAAATATTCCTCAAGCTATATCTTATCTTGAAAATGGTCATGCAAAAGGCAAAGTTGTAATTAATTATAGTAGTTTTCAATAAAATTAAAATAAAAGAAAGCATAAAATATTGAATATAATATTGTTTTTTTTTTTGTTTTATTATTATTATTATTATTATATTATTCATCATCATCATCAATTATTTGATTTTCTTTTTTGCAATAGCAACAAAAAAAAATGAATGAAGCAAGAAAAGATCAGGAAATCAATGTTGACATAGAGACAAAAAAAATTTTCAAGTGACATCAATAATTTTATTTTTCTTTATTTGTCACTTTATTGTGGTAATGCTTTTAATAAATAGGTGACTTCTTCTGCAACAGCCACGAATACAAATTCAAAATGGTCCTAGAAAGAAACAAATAGAATTTTGTTTTCTTTTTTGTCCATCAAAACAATATGTTGTTTTTTTTTTCTCCTTTACTTTTGTTTTAACCATTTTGGCTCGTTGATCACGAATATGTTCAAGTGTAGCAGCAATATTTATTTCTCGTGCTCCTTTGCAAATACGGTTTAAGACAATGTCCAAGAGAATATAAGTACCAGTACGTCCAACACCATCACTTGAAGAGGAAAAAAAAAAGAAAATAAGAATTTTAATATTGAAACGTTTTTTTTTTTTTAATTTTAATAATAAATACGTACTTGCAATGAACAATGATTGGTGATGATCGACCACGAAAACATTTATTCACTTTTCTATGAATATAGGAGAAGAATAGAATTTAAATTTGAAAAAAAATATTTTGCGATTCTTTTTCTGTTTTTTTTTTTAATATTATTATTATTATTACACTTGATTATTGATAATTTATGATGTTAATAGATGATTCTCATCAGGTCGCTTTTGTGACTATGCAATTATTGATTTCAAATTGCATAATTTTCAAAAGCTGCCAGAAAAGAAATACAAATGTCTATTATTGTATATTGATGTTCATTATTAAAAGAAAAATGTCTCAATAATAAATATCTATTTTTATTACAATCAATTATAAATATATACTTTCTTTTTCTCGCTTTTCTATCCTGCTGCGAAGAACTATAAAAGCAACTTAGTCACATCCATACATACTCATCTATAGTCATGTCTTCATTTCATCTTTAACAACAAGCTCCTTTTTCTTCTCATTAATTTTAATTAAATGAATAAGAATAGCATGATAGTTTATATATTTTCTTTTTCTGTTCATCAACGAAATAATATATTTATAGACATACCGTCGAAAATCAAGTAAAACTTTAGCCGATGGTGGATTATTTAATTCACCCCATGTTAAAAAGTGAAATTGTGTTACAGTACGTGTTTCCATTGTTTGAACATTTTTTAAATAAAAACTTCGAACTAAATAATCATCAGACCAAATATGTTCTGAAACAAGATTGACCTATTAAAAACAAGATAGAATTGTTTTTTATTTCACTTCAAAAAATTGTTTTATTATACTTCAAAATCGTTAAATCGTGCTGAACCTTCAACTGGCCAATAATGATGACACATTGTAATACCACTTTCAACTAAAAAAAAACAAACATACATTATTATAACAATGTTTAAATAACAAAAATAAATTTATTATATTACTAGGTCGAGTCAATGCTACGATGACACACGATCCCTGTTCCCAAACCATTTGCCAAAATGCATTTGTTGTATTTGGCATTGGACCTTGTGTTGCAATATATTTGCATTTTGGATCAGAATCAGTCTAATAATAAGAAAAAATAAAAATTTATTTGTTTGCTTGTTTTTATAAATAAAATATAAATCATATACTTACAATTGGACTTGCATTGATATAATCATCATCGCCATTGTTTGCAAGTCGAATACGAGCATGATCATCTTTAGAAAAAAAAGAAGTAAGATAATGTAAATATAACTGTGTTTGTTTTCTTTGACAAAGCAAAAATGATGATGATAATGATGATGATGATAATGACACGTCAATTTGAATCCTAAGACGATGTGAGCACCGCCGCATGCACAACGTAGTACTTCTTGTGCATGCATGGAAAAAAGGAAATGAGTAGGAGCTATACAGCTCAAATTTCGATTCTCACTTCTAATTAACAGTAATGAGAAAAGAAAGACGAGAGAAACTAACGTTTACCTTTCTTTTCTTCTATTTCTTATTCTGCTTTCTAGTTGACTCGTTTTATATTCATCTATATATATATAGAGAGAGACAAAGAGATAAATATGAAAGAAGTCTTTTTAGATAGTTATGCTTAACATGTGTGACCTACTGAAGGCGGCATTGATGAAAAACATATAATAAAAAAAGGAAAAAAAAAGCGACGACAATTGAAAATAAGTGCGAATAAATGTCAATTAATGTATGTCTACATACATTTATCATCATTCTAATTAGCAGGTCACAAGTTAGCAAGTTGAACTTACATGGTATACAATCAATATATCGATTTTTATTGGCATTAGTTTCTGAAAGTGCAACAGCACATGACGCTCGTTCTTCATTTATTTCATCTGTATATAATGCTTGCCATTCAGCTTCTAAACGATGTCGATTACGTAGATGATCTTCCATATATGACTAAAAAATGAATTTATAAAAATTCAAAGAAAAAAACCAATAAATCAAATTTTTGTTTTTACTAAAATCAGATGTCCGGTCATGATGTCCATATTAACTGGAGCTACAGGTTCTTCACTCCTAAAATGAATTAATAGAAAGAAAAAGAAAAATTAGAATATATTAAGTATAATAAACAAAAAGTTTTCTAACCATGATGATGTTGAACTTCGAGTTGATGAACCTTCACTATTATGCTTAGCATGACTAGCAGCTGATACTGTTGTTGGTCCTGCACTTGGTGGTGGTGTTTGTTGAACCTTATGTATATCAGGTGATTTACTACCTGTTGGATGTACTTGCATTCGTTGTCGACATAAATCCTTTAGAAGAAAAATAAAAATACTTGAAAATCTCTTTTATAAATAAAGCAAATTGTTTACTTGATAATAATTTGTTGATAAACCTCGAATATGTGTTATTTCAGCAAGTTTATTTCGAATACGATCATTACGTTTAACGAAATAAAGTAAAGCAAATGCACCCATAATAAGAAGTACCACGCCACAAATAGTCGATGCAACAAGTGCCCATTGTGAACCATTTTGTCGTTCAACTGATAATTGACTACCCTGTAAATAATGAATCAAGACAACTAAGTTACTTCTTGTTCTCTCTCATCTTCTTCTTCTTCTTTGATGGCAATTATAATAATTTTTCTTTTGCTATCTTTCATTTTCTCTTTCCGTCTTTTTTGTTTTTTATAACTAGATTGTGTAAGATACTTTTCATTAATATTAACACTCTATCTTCCATTTTCATTAATAATTTCTCACCAAGAAAAGAATTTGAGTAAAGAAAGAAGATATCTTTTTTTTGTAATATTAAATATGATCATATTGAACACTTTTTATTTTGTTTGCTTACTCTTACACTTTTGAATTTTTTTTTTTTTCTATATGAATATATGGTTAGGTGTTTTCAAGTCTTTCTTTTATCTTAGCATATAAATGCATCATCTAATTATACTAACGGTAAAGAGGCGAAGAAGAAAAGAAAAAGCGAGACAGATGAAATAAAAGAATTTTTCTCTCATTTTTTTTTCTTCATCAATTGAGCTTTTGTGTTAGTAAGTTGCCTGCTAAAATTAAGGTTGACGCAAAGTAGTAGAGAAGAATTATCAATTATGCATGCATTCGCGTGTGAATCTAATGGATGCTCGATCTTTGTTAACGCACTCGCTCATGCAAGGATCTACGGAAAAGTCACACCGACAAACACACACACACGCACATCAAAATCAAGAAAAATTCAATAGACATTCTCTGTGATTCATTGATCTATTTGTCATAGAATAAATATATATATATATATATATCTACGTTAAGAGACATTGAACAAAAAAGGAAAACTAAGTATGTAGAAGAGTAGTAATGTTTATATTTCTGAAACTAATGGCAATGAAAACAAATTAAGTTTTTTTTTTTTTTTTTCAATAATAAATCTAATATTATATAATTTTCTATTGTGCAAGAACTATACATTATAAATTTCAATTATAAATGTTCGGAAAATGAATAAACCGATCGGAATATTTCATGAATAAAATTGTTAAACGTTAGATGTGTGCGAATGGATTTAAATGACATAACCTAAAAACAATATCTTCAGAGATAAAACGCTCGATAAATTCTAGTATATTATTGAGATCTGAATGTAGTTAAGTATAGATTATATTCATGAGAAACAAAAATTTACAGATAACGATAATAAATACATTACAGTAAGTTTTTTGAAAATTATAAAAATCTATGAACATCATAGATTTTCAAAAACTTTAACTTTCTATTCTATAGTTTCTGCTTTATTGGATGACCTTAATTTGAACTAGGTTCTTTTGTCTAATTATCAAAGCAATATCATGTTCTTCATTAAAAGAATTTCAATATTATTTATATAAATTTTTACAAATTGTTTTACTACTCTGTTCAAATTTGAGTAGGAAGTTATCTCTGAGGAAAAAGAAACAACATTTATTTGAACAAGTATATTAAATCCTAATATTCATCATTCTATAGTAAAACAGAACAGAAATCAAAGATCAGTTTTATTAACTTACCGGAAAAGATAAATGAAAACAGGAAATGCGGTGTTACTATAATATTTAACATAGTCGAGTGATAAGCAATCTATTCTTAGCATAATAAAAAGAATGAATCAAGAAGAAAAATAATGAGATACGATTCTATCTCTTATTTTTATTTGAAAGAAAAAAAGAAGAAGAAGAAGAAGAAGAAGAAGAATGAGAAATAGTCCCTCGTGTTGTTTTTTGTGCGCATCATTATCGTTTTGAACAATAGGAAAAGAAAAAAATACCAAAAAAAAATCTTACGTATTACTGTTCAATGTAACATAGTATTAAGAAACAACATTCATCATTTATAGATTATCCCGCAATGCACAGTCATGAATGTGTGTGTGTGCTAGGCTCATATTATCATTGTATTCGTTTTGATAGTAAATATGATGAATCTCGATTTGTTGCTCGTGTATAAGAGAGGAAGAGAGTCAAGTATCGACTTTGAGCCTCAAGGCATGTTCTAATTGCAATCACTAGCCACTAGTAGAGCCAACATCGGCATACTACACAATAGTCAGATAATATTTCTAGTGTCTTCCTTCTCTCTTTCTTTTCTTATATGTTCGTATATATATGTGTGTGTGTGTAGCACTCACTGTGTCGATCTAAGAACACAAAATAAACGTGCTTGTTACATTTTCTGATTATTCTTCATCTTATCTAGTTTTACATTTGCATATTTTCTTATTTATTTCTCTATCTCTTACTCGTATGGGATTGCCAATGCCAGAATCAGTTACATGAATGCCCAATTGATTTTGAATACTTTCTTGATTATTTACTAAAATAAAGAAATAAAATAAATGAATAGAATTTATTTCGTCGTTACATTTTTCTTTTTTATCTCTGTATTATTAAATTTGATAAACACATGATTATTTTGGTTAATGTCATATTTTTTTCCTCCTTTTTAAACTTTAAAATTGTCTCTTGAGAGTCAATTTCATTATGGAATCTGTCAAAAAAGATAGAAGAAAAAAAAAAAGCAACAAAAGAATGATGCTATCTGTCTATCATTTTGGATATAAAAAGAAAGAAAGAAAGAAGAGACAAAAGACAAAAGAGAAATAATGAAATTGAGCAGATAATGTTTTTAAATGATAGATGACGAACATACAAATGGCGATAAATGGATCAACATATAAAAATGACAATACGAACATATCAACAAAAGAATTTTATTTTTTAAAAGACGCTTCTTTATTTCTATTTTAGAAATTATATTTAATTATTAATCCATTGAATAATCTTAGAAGTTATAATCAGATAGACAAAAGTATTAAAAAAATTAGTATTTAGAGAATCCTAACTTCTATATAGTATGTATTCTGAAAAACTAAAACTATCAATTAGTCTATATACCGGCGTGTTCTTTCACTTGGAGGCAGAAAAAAAAAAGTTCCCAGTTTTGTATGCTATTATAAGTAGTTTGAAGATGAAATCTCACTACCATAAAATTGATGGCAAACATATATGCCTATTTAAACATAAGAATACTTGTTCTTTTTTTCAAAATTGACCTAATTAATTTTTAAGAAAAAAAAAATACTTTACACTTACAAGCTGCACTAGCAACATTGCTTGCATTGATTTGATAAGCATTATTCAAAACATGAAACGTTAGCACACGATGGTCGGTACTTTAAAATAAAATAAAATATTTATTTAATAATAGATTAAAAAAAATAATATATTTTCATACTTAAGTTCAGTAAAAATAGCTGCTGGCCATGAATTAATTTGTGCTAAAAGTGATAATAATCGAGCTCCTTCAATTTGATCTTTAAAGCTAGACAGATAAAAATATATATATATATATAAAGATAGAATCGAGAACAAAATGAACATATCCATACTCTCGGTTGATTACAATATAGCCTTGAGCTGTTTCAACTGCAAAATAACGTTCGGCATCACTTTTATTTATCATATTATTATTTGTTAGAATTTTACGTGCTAAGGATAACAAAAAAAAACAACATATTATATCCAAAGAGTAACATGAAAAGAAATCATTACTTATTGTATCTTCAATTAATAATGGTAATATTTGTTTATTATTATTTATTTGCAATGTTTCCAATAAACCTGGATGACCTTCACTTGTATGTACAGATATTTTACTTGGTTCTTCTATAAAAAATCAAAAAACGAAAAATAATAAATTTTATTTTTAATAAAAATAAATTATTATTACTCATCATTGATTCTTCTTCAGGTAAATCTATTGGTCTTTCATTTAATATAAGTTCATCATCATCGCCAATATAATATGTATTCACATGATTTAATTTTTTAAATTGTTCTTCTTCGGCTTTTTGAGCTATTGCTTGGGCAAGTCCAGCAGTGATCGGTAATAAACGAGATTGTTCAATATCAATTTCATCTGGTTCATCAAATTCCATAAATAATGGACCACCATATTTATTATCAAGACGAATTATTGTTTTATCCGATTTAGTTAATGGAAAATATGGGTCTCTATACAAAAACTCTAAACAAAAATATTCAAAAGATTTTTTTTTCGTAAAAGAAAAAATAAAGAAAATAATACGAATTTGAATATTACTTTTATTTTGACGATAAAATCCTAATTGACGGCGATACACATTTTCTTCTTGAATATCTGCTAGTTCATCCAATACTTCATCTTTATTTAAACAATCTTCATAAAATATTTCCAAACGATTTTGATTTATTTGCTGTTCATCAGATAATATATGTGATAGTATACATTGTGTCATATAATCTCTCCAACTAAGATGATAACGAGTTAAAAAATCTAATGTTTGTTCAATAGCAATTAATTTATCATCAGTAAGTCCATCAACACCGGTTTTTAATGTAAATGCTGAACGTACTGATCCTTCACCATTCCAACATTGTCCAAAAAGACCATCTATAAAAAAAACATAAAATAAAATGATTTTTTTTTTTTTGTTCATCAATTTTCATAATATATCTCTATGCAAATTCGGGAAACAAATCAATCTTATCTTCATCAATATTAATGTATAGCTTGGTCGTATTTTCATGATTACTAAATTTGAATTTAGTATCCTGCAGTTATACTCGGAAATGTGGAGTTCAATAAAGCAGCGATATTTAGATTTCCAATAAAAGGAAATTTTGAAAGTTTCAAATATTTAGATTTCAAATGGTTGGATACATTCTAATTTTCCTAATTTCTAAAAACTTTTAATTTATAATACTATGCAATTTATCAATGTGATGGAAATTTCGAAAATTTGAACATAGAAAAGACATGATTGTTTCATTTATATATTTTAAAATATGTTCTAAAACAAAAACTTACCATCGTAACAATCTTCATTTTGATTACATAGATTTAAATCGTATTTGCAACCTATTTTATAAATAAATTTAAATGTTTTTTGTTTTATTATATTTAGAAAAGAAGAATTTTCAAACCTAATATTCCTTCAAAATTAATATCTGGTTCAGGTGACATAAGATATTTATTTGAATCAATTAAATTTATTCCATCCTCATCATTGGAAATAGTTTGTCGTTTTTGTCGTTGTATTGCTGTTACATCATTGGTAGCTTTTTTTGTTGGCGCACCGTAAATAATGGGCAATGGATTTAAAAGTAAAATTGTTATTAAAGTAACCAGACGATGACAAGACGAAGATGAGGAAAATAGAAAAGGAAAGGATGATTGGGTCATTTTCACTCACTACCACAATGTATGGACATAATTGTAAAGAATAGTGGTAGTGTTTGTTATTGTTGGGTTTATTATTATTATTTTGATGTTAACCATGCGTTCCTTTCGTTACCCGGAAAAAAAGAGAAGAAAAAAAATAGCAAGAGAGAGAGAGAGAAAAAAAAAGTTCTTTTTTTTTCGCTCAGCAATTATAGATCTATGACGACATAACACAAAACTATGTTAGTGGAAGATAAATTCCTTTTTTTTTCATCGCTCTCTTTTTCTTTTTCTTTTTCTTCTTCTTTTTGTCATCTTTTGTTACAACACAACAAAGAGCAAAAAAACCTATAGTTTTCTAATAAACATGTGTTCAACATTTGAAATATTGATTGCGACATAAAAGAAAGAACTTATTAGTTTTTTTTTTTTTTTTTTTTTTTTTGTTATTCTTGGAAACCATTCTTTAGTATATATGTGTATCAGTTACATTTCCGCTTTCTTTTTTCTTTTTTATTCTTTAGTTTTTCTTCGGAGCCATCTGAGAAGCTTGCTTATTTTTCACAATATTTTTCCTTATTTCGTGTCAGACGAGAGTAACGATGACTAGTATATGTCGACTCTATATGTCTATGTTTATAGGTGCGCTAATAGCAAGACTTGGATTCTTTTCCTCTTAGATAAAAAACAAGTAATAGAAGAAGGAAAAAAAGCAAAAAAAAAAGGGGGAAAGAAAAATGACTATCTCGTCTGCTCGTTCTGTGTCGGCTTTACCGACCGTCAATGCGCTCATGCAACGTTCATCATAACAACAGATAACATTGTCACCATCGTTCAACTACTTGTTTGTCTGAAGAAAAAAGAAAATGGAACTAAGTAGTTGTGCACTAAAACTAGAGAACAACATCGAACGCCTCTGCTTCTTATTTTCTTTTCTTGATCGTTTTCTATGGCGCTTGTTATTCCATAAGCATTCTAAGGACGAATGTGGGCGACAATAAGCTTTTTCACTGCATCCTTTACTTATGAAAGAACGTGAATAATGCGTAGGCACACAGATGAATAAATAGCTCAAAGGAAGTGAGGTGTTTAGCGGTAAATTCATCATGACTTATTTGGAAAATAACATAGACTTATTTTTTTTTGTAACATTAAACGATAATATATTTGTAGAATAAATATTTAGAGAAAAAAAAATATGAAAATAACTTCTTTTGTTTACTGTTTTGGAAAAGTTATTTCTTAATTAAAATCTTATGTTTATTTTGTTAACTTAAAGAATTCCTATTTGATCTAATATGTTATTAAAATCCTTTCTTCTTCAATAAAGCAAAACAATTGAAGGATTAAATCAAATTGAAACACTAATTTTCAAATAAATCATATCTATAAATAGAAGTTTAACTCTTCATGTCACCACGCTATATTTGTCATACAAATACAAATGCCTGATAAAATTTTTCATTTATCTCTGTTATTTCTGATAAGAGAAATCAAGTAATTAATATGTTCAATTACACCATATGCAGCAAATACAAAAAGAATACTCAAACCTAACTATAATATAAATGTCATGACAATTTATTGTTCTTGTTTTAGAGTAGAGAAGGAAACAAATGAAATTCAAGATGTTCTTTCAACTATTTTATTTTTTGTTGTAATTACACACAAATGTTTACTGTTCAATCAAAACAATTATAATTTGAAGTATTTTTTTTAAATATTTTCCGATGATATTTAGAAGTAAAATCATTAGATTAAATCACTTTTCATCATGCTAAAAAAGAACTCTGCTTATAAATTACCACATAATAACTAAAGTTTAATGATGATCAAAGAATCGACTTTTTTTTTTTGTTGATGTGAAAATTAGTATCAGAAGCATAATAACAGTTTAAATTTATTTGTTTTTATGTGTATAAAAACAGACAAAAAGAAAAAGAAAACACTTGAAAATTTCATTTTAGTCGATTTTATAATCACGTAATACAGTTTGAATTTTATCCGTTGATGAGAATTCATTTTGTAATCTTTGTAAAATTGTTTTTAATAATTTTTTATCGTCATTACCAAGAAAACTCAACTGTGTATCAAATCTTGGTGTTTGATGTAGTTCATACATTGAATCAATTAAATGTTCATCAATATTTGTTTGATTTGACCATAAAAGTAATATTCTTGAAAATACTGATGAATCAAGGCCAGTAGAAAAAATTGTTTTATAAGATTTTGGTGGAATTTTATTAAAATAAATTGATTGTTGTTCAAGTTGATTATTTAAATTTGACCAATCACGTTTAAATTGAAAACCTGTAGTTGGAATTGTAGTTGGTATAGGTACAGATTTAGTTGATGGTTTTTCAGTTACTGTTGGTTTTTCAGATTGTGACGAAGGAGAAGGAGGAGGAGGAGGAGGAGACGGCGATGATGATGGTGGAACTATTGGTTCAGATGAAGGTAGATCCTAAAGAGTTAGATTGATTATTTCAAATAAATAACAATATATAAATATATACCGTATCCATTTCTTCAATAACAATAGTTTTTTTCTTTGTTGTTTCACTACTTGAAATAATTGATGTATCAATTTCTTGTATTTCAATTCTTTTTAATGGTTTAGTTGATCGTTTATCAATAGGTTTATCATGTAATGGATAAATTCTTCCTAAACGTTTTATTTCATCATTTTTATTTAATTCATCTAATTTATTTTTTGCATCATTATTTGATGGTTCACGTGTTAGAATATATTCTAAATCTTGTCTTGCTTGTTCAATTTTTTCAATTTCAATACGTGCTAGTGCTCGTCTATAATAAGCTTTTAAATAATTTTTGTCAAGTTGTATAGCTAATGTACAATCAGCTTCACAGGCACCATAACGTTGTTCAAATAATTGACATTGAGCACGATTAGCAAAATAAATTGGACATGTTGGATCACATTCAATTGCTTTCGTATAATGTTCGATAGCTTGAGCATAAGATTTTTGTTTAAATTGATAATTACCACAATCTTTATAGTATTCAGCTTTTTGTTTTAATACTTGTTCTTGCCATTCTTCATCTTCCTCATCTTCTTCATCTTCATCATCACCGTCTCCCTGTTCATTATCAATTCGTTTACATTCAGCATCAACATCATATTTATCCCATGAATGGTAATCATGTGAACGTATAGATGAAGAAGTTTTTGTTGAAGAATTTTTCTTTTTCGATTTCTTTTTTGGTTTTGGTGGTTCAATAAAATTTCGTACTGGTGGAAGATCTTTCGTTGTTGATGATGTTGTATTTTTTAAAGATTCTTCTTTCTTTTTTATTTCATCTGTCCAAGTATTTAAATCTTTCATATAATCATTTAAATATGCATTATTTTCACGCATTTGATATTGCATATCAATTAATTTACGTTCGTATTCTGATGACATAGTTTCTTTTTATGACAGAAATGAAGTTTTAAATATCGTTTTAGTTTATGGTTTAAGATACAATGGCTTGATAATTTTAAAGAGCAAATATGAAAAAAAAGCGTTTTTTTTTTATTAGTTATAGTAACTTTTAAAATCAACGTGCTGAATTGTTCTTTGCTTAGTTTGTTAAAATTTCTTGTCTTGGATTCCAATAAAATGTAATCAATCGCAACAAATAGATAGATGGCAAAGAATACGATAGATGTCTGTATCAACAAGTAGTTCTCCAACAATTATTATTATCGAAAAAAATAAAGAGATTGACAAAATTGAAAATAAGTTCTACTGTATAAATCGAAAGATGCAGAAGTGATTGATAATTATTTATTTTGAACAAGATTCAATATTGATACAAACATTTATACTATTGCTATAAATGCACACGAAAACCAGTTCTATTTTCAACAAATACTTCTATGTTTTGCAAGTTGAAATCGCTCATGAATGTATGCTTTTTTTGAAATCTTTTAGACAATGTTATAGATGAGAAAATTATTAAAAAACTTGGAGGATATCTGTCAACCATCGGACAAATCGTTTATTTGAGAAAAAAAAACTATACTTTCGTCTGTTTTCGTTCTGAAAATTTTTTCAGTGTTTTTTTTTCTGATTTTCCATCGAAAAGTGTATATTAGGACAATATTTGGTTGCCTTTGAAACTAGAAGTTTGTTCAGTACGACTATAACGAACGCTCCGACGGAAGTATGCCAATATACAATTTTACAAAGCTATCTAGTGTTTTATACGAAGAACCATAGCCAAAAGCCTTACCTCATTCGAACGACTCAAGGATGAGCTTTAAAAGTACGTATTTAATTTTTTAAGGTTTTGTGTTATTGATGAGAAAATAAAAACTTTCAAAGGTAAACGAAGAAATTGCAATATAATTTTGAATTTCTAACTGCTTCTGTGTTAGAGCGAAAAGAGAATCAATATACTTATTCTTTTGAACATTTCTCAAAGATGTATAATGTTCAATGGAGTGATATATCAATTTTATAATTTGAACTTATCTTGCTTCGTTTTTCAAACAAACACTATTTGAATGAACGAACGACACTCAACAACTAATTTGCAACCATTTAAAATGATCATAGTCACAGATTCCGTTCGTTCATTATTTATTTCATGTTAATGATACTATTGAACTGGCGCTTTTCTCTCCCGTAAAAAAATTAATTGCTTGTCATTTTCGTCTACGTATGCAAAAAAGGCAAATCAATTGGCTTTGTACTTCTCTTCACAAACAAATCATCTGTTTCAATCGTATGCCATGGGGACAGATATATCGGTTTTTGTAGTAATTATATACAAAAAAAGGAATAAACTACTCAGCTGTTCTGTTCATGTTAGTTTCCACCGTAATTTTCGTGAAAATCTAAGTTTTGCTCGTTGTTTTTAGCGAAATTTCAACTTTTTAGAAAAAAGTCCCATACAATGTATGAAACAAACAGAGGAGCGAAAAGTCTTCAAAAAACTTGACATTTTGCTACAAAACTGAGCGTAAAGTTCGTATTTCTACGGAAATTACTTCGAAAACTCACATAAACAAAATGCTAATAGACTTATGTCCTTCTTTGAGCAAAACTATTTAGTACATAAACTGACGTGACTGTCTGCCTGGGATATAAGCTCATCGTTTTCGATGTATTCAACCATTATTTTTCCCTCTCATCAATTGAATGAATGATTTCGATGCATAGTTGAATTACTCTTTGTGTTCCAAGTATTTACAGTAATACAACTAAAGATAGAAATAAACCATTCAATCGATGAACATTTTTTTCTTATTTCTGTTTCTCATGCAATGAATTATTGTTATGCTGGAATAGAAATAGTGATTTATAGCATGAGTCGAAGAATTTTCTTTTTTCTTTTCTTTCAGTCTGTTGCATGACCTTCTTCTTAGCACAGAGAAACTCTCCTTATTGAAACATCAAATACGCCGTGAAGATCTTTTATTTACTACTACTAGAAGTCGCCATAATTGAGTGACTACATTGTTTGACATGTACCTATAAAAATACCATGTTCAAACCTCAGTATCAGGAACCGTAGAATGACCTTGAACAATTCACTAACGACTATTCGTCTCCAAACACTCACCCAATAGCATGCTGACTACCTAAGAACTCTGCATCAAACTGACCTTCTGTCCAGAGCCATCGCTATGCATAGTTGTGATGAAATATTGGGCTACTCAATCTGCCAAAAGGCAGCATCCCATACCACAAGGTAGCCGAAAGATAGGGGTATTCTTCGTTTTTGTCTCTTAGTTGCTGTAATTTCTACCTTTTGGACATGTATTAGTTAACTGACGAGTAGGAATGGTCCTACTATGTTATTAATAAAATACAGTTTCTCTGAACACACACACATACCACTTCTAATATCAATAGAAGAAAAATCCTCTTCTCTCCTCATACTTATTTTTTTGAACAAAACAAAATCAACGACAATTTCTTTTCACAATTTCTGTTTTTTCGCAAAGCAAGAAGTTTAGGATCATTTGCAGGCAGTGAACATTGTAAAGTACTCAGTGTAAGTTCATAAAATGAAACTGTATTGAAATAGTTATCCATACTTTTATACACCGAACCAATGTTATTGTAAGAAGCAGCTAAAGCGGGATGCGTTAGAGAAAGAATCTTCTTGTTGGTTTCAATGATTTGTTGATGATAGGCTATAGCATTTGGGTATTCAGCTTGTGCACTCTTGGCGGCCTCAAGCATATAATCAGTCGTTGCTTGATCAAGCAAGATATCATTCACATCGTGGACTTTGTTGAACTGCCCCAGTTTTATTAGCAACATACTCAGACAATCTCATCTTTCCGCGTTAAGATAGGTCTCCTCACGTATGCTTTCAATTAGTAAATGAAGTTCAGGATTGTTGTCACTTGTTAATATTAAATCAACTTGCCAAAGGCGATCATTTCCATCGATTTATTTCATTCTTTCAATACAAAAGATGGAATGCATAGAGAAGAGGATTTCTTTTTCTCCTTCAAAATAACTAACATACCGGATGTCAGCAAATGGTGTTGAGCCGATGGACGGATCTATTTTCATGGCAAATAGGATATCAACAAGATCGGACGTTGCAATAGTTTTATGAGCAAATTTGATGGAAATTTTACGGTCTTCACTAGTTCCTGGAAAATTATTAAATAAGAAGAGTCTATCTTTCGTTTTAACTAATTGATCAATGTCGATCTTCAACAGTCTTTGACCGTGATAAACGATCAATGAACTGGAAGCCGTACGTCCAGCAAATTGTTGAACATGAAGCTCAAGAATGTAGTTGATGAGGTCTCAAATAAAAAGTCCCATGCTAACGATGTAATCGATCTCTATTTTGGATAACAATCGATACAGCATGGATTACAGAAAAAAATTGATATGTATACCACCATACTGTGATATGTTTGTGGTATCCCCTTTTGATTTTGTCGATATTTTGTAGTTCTTTCAGATTTTGAGGTAAATAATTAACGATAATAAGTAACAAAGTCGTTGATATGATGCTATTTGAAATCGATGTTTAATAGAATCCTCCATTTATCTTTGGTAATTGTTTAATCCGACCTTCATGCTGAACTTGGTTCTTACTTAAAATATAGGTAGCATCGACTTGTGGAAAATCATGCATAACGGAAACAAATGTTTAGGTAAAAACGCCAGAGAATATCAGAAATACTTTCTCTTCTCGAATATCGGTTGTAAAATTGACGCATTCATTCACATCAGTGAATAGATGTATGTGGTTCGCCACTTCTTTTAACTTGCTGATGGTGTCGATACGATTGTCGTTGTTCATCTGATCGATACTGACATCGAACCATACCAAGACGAAGTTTTGAACTTACCAGTATAAATAGACTGTCGTGACCTTATATTCATATATTCGTTTGTTGCAGTGATAATAGCAGCACCGATGATTGCTGTCGATTTGTTCTTCATGTTCATGATGTTTGTTGTGTGTTTTATCGATGAAAAAAATAAAATAAAATGACTTCAATTTATATAGTGTGTTGAATTTTTGTCTTGATGTTTCTATTTGTTTTCGATTGTTGATGTTGTTGGAACTCGGCTAAGTTTCGATTCCCATAGATGAGTCGTTCCTTTTCATTTATTTATTTTTTCTATCTGTAATGCCAGAAGAAAATGAAAGAGTGAAAAAGAAAAGAAATTCATTGCAATATAATTTCATACTGTGTTTTATTTATATTTTTTTTATGATATCGGAATGTTTTTCCTCTGTTTATTCTTATTTTTTGGGGGTTTGGGGGGATACAGTGTATGAATCTATGTGGATATGGATGTTTCTGTGTAGTGTAGGCGATGCGAGCACGCTGATTCACACGCAATCCCTCAGCCACAAACGCATCACCCCCACATCCTCTTCTACCTGCATTCATTCCTTGCAATATGACTTCGTTTTTGTGAATGAAGTATTAAAATAAATGCACCATATTCTATTCGTTAGTTCTTATTGTAGACTAATATGTATTGAATATCATAAGACTATGTTTTCAACTGTTTTTTTTTTTATTAAATGAATAATTTTTTTATATGCTGAAGTAATGACATATCATTGAAAACTGTTATATACCCAGATTCAACTCACCCGATCGGATTTAACTGTCGGAAACGATCGATATTCTTTAGTTTCCATCGGTTTTTGGCTATTGAATTTTGTTCGGATTCTGTTAATAGCATCCGATGATATTCGACAGCAGAAACTTGTTGGATTCTACGAAATTCAATGGTATTAAAGCATCTAGTTTTATCTCTTGTGATTAACAGACAACTTTTGAAACACATTTGTGACACTTTATAACACAGTGAAGACACTTTCTTGTTAGAAAAATGAAATATTTTAATCGAACAACTCAGAACAAGCATTCCGATAGTGGCAAACGGTCTTAAAACGCCGTTTTAGCTGTTTTTTTTTC